AAGAGAGAGAGAGAGGGCGCGCGAGAGTTTAAAAAGTTCAGTTAAGCCTCAGCTGTTACTTAGACTCTACTAAGCGGTACTCCGCTAAATAGTTTCACTGTGTTTCGCCGTTTTTGCAAATCAAAAGTTTCTCGATTTTTTGGATACGTGCGTGAGTGATCGTAAACAGCATCACCGCAGCAGCAAAACACAGCAGCAAGCGAGTAACAGTATTTGTTGGAGCAACAATAGTTTGTGAGCGAGGCAGCGCAGCTTGTTCCCGCAGGAGCACCTTTGAATTAGCTGGATAAACAAGTACGGCTGATTACCGTAATTGCACCGCAGGGTAGGTGCATCTTCCTTTTATTAAGCGACAAAATGTCTATCACGATCGTTATTTTTTGTATTCGCACCGAGCGTTAGTTTTCGCGGCAAAGTTTCGAATTCTCTCTCTCTCTCTCTCTATCTATCTATCTATCTCCCCGTATTATTGTTAATAATTGTAAAATCTTATTCGCGTGCGTTAGTCTTTCGGCCCATCAAAGACTGTAATTTTATTAGTCATAAATGTTATTAATTTTATTCGCCGCATTATGTCATTTTCGTTTCCTATTAATTTAACGGATCTATTACGGATTAAATTTTAAACCGATTTCATCTAGGGGATTAGGTGTAATTTGCATTAGTTCACTCACACCTAATAAATCGAGTGTCATAAGTCAGGTGACTTAAGGTGAGTTCAACTCTGTTGGAAAGAAGACAACTAAACGAAAGTATCAAACGTAAAGGCGAATACACGTATATTCAAACGTGTTTAACAGAGTGGCGGTTAGCTCTGCATCGTAGGAGTTTGTGCTTTAATAAATTCCCTTTGTACTAGCTAATCCACCCCGTTACAATATAAATAATATATATAAATAATATATATATACAGTGCCGGTCAGCCACTTTTACCCCCCCGCGGGCAAAATCAGTCTAACTTCAAAGTTTTATATCTCTGGTAGAAATTAACGTACAGAGACGCGCGTGGGTGCGTTTGAAAGGTCTTTCGGAGAGCTTTCAAATGATATGACTCACGGTTGCCATCGATTGTTTTTTTAAATTTTGCAACAATTATGCAAAATTGAAAATTCTGAAATTTTTTTATTATTTTTGACAATTAGCCAATTTTGGAAAAAAATCGTACGAAAATTTGAAGTACACCATTTTTTAGCTATTACCAAGCCCTATCTGAATCACTCATCAAAAATTTATTTTCGTCAAATATGACGCGCGCACGGGCATTTTTTCCTGGAAGTGACAGTTTTTTTCAACATTTTTTATCTCCGTCAAATTGTAACAATCGAAAAAAATTTATAGGAGAAACAATGTTTGTTTTTTCACGTAGAATACTGCAATAATTTTTTTTTTGGTTTATCGAAAAATTTTTTTTTTCGGTTTTTTTCAATTTTTTTTTCTCACAGTCGGTACGTTAAAAAGATGAGAAACCACAAAAAAAAATTTTTTTCCACCCATTCAATAATACTACATAACAAGTATCGTAAATTACATAAAAAAAAAATCTTTTTTTTTTTGACCTTGAAAAATAATTTAAACCGAAAAAAAAAAGTAATTATTTACTTTTACGAATTATTTTCCTTTCAATTAAGATAAACTTACAAGAGCTGTATGGATTGCCACGTCGTAGCGTATCGTTGTCCCAAGACCTTTGGCTGAGACAATTTTACGTGCAACGTTAATAGTCTTCACGACGACTGGCTAGGTCCTGATCTCAGAGTTCTTTTGGGAGTTGCGGCGGGTTAAAACCACCCAAAAACTCACCGGGATATTTCTATCTTAAAAAACTTAACGGTACACGTGTTTCCCTTGTTCGACTTCGTCCCAGACCGTTGGCTTAGACGCAGTCAAACAATAGCACCAACCTAAACCTTGAGTCGAGAGGGTGATATTTTAAACTATTTTTTTCGCCCACGGAAAATTCTAATTTAAAATAGTGAGAGAAAAGAATAGAATTTGTTTTGGTTTGTTTTTACTTATTTCTTTATTTTTTTGTTTTGTTTGGTGACGAAGTCCCCTTTTTCTTAATAAAACACACCCGTAATAAGCCTTGCCCGCTTATGTTTTTTTGTATCCTTCTGGCTGCTGGATGAATCAGCTTCCAATCTTCCTTCCTAGTGGGGTCCTGGGGAGCAAACGTGCTTGCTAGTAACGAGCAGGCCCTTTTATTACTTTTGTACGGCCACGGTGAATGTCCCTTCCAAAATCTCCCGTGGGTGGAAACTCTAATTCGGCCTTTATTTCGACATTGGTCCTCTAATTTTTTTCGGGGTCTCATTGGTCGGAGAGCGTGAATTTTCCGGGTACGCTAGAGGCGTGGACCTTTCTACTTGTATCTTTCCCTCCAGAGATGGCTCCTCAAGTATGATTTTTTTTAGTTGTGTGCACGTAATTATTTATAATAAACGTGCAAGGCTTTTCTATTGTGTGATTGCTTATTTCTATGTTTTACTTTCATTTACTTAGTGAATTTACATTTATTTAATTTTATTACACTTAATTTTTATTTAACTAACTAATTAGAATAACTATGTGCTTCTTTTGTTTCTTTATTATTTTCTTTTTTTTTAGTGATTTTAGGTTCATAATTTTCAACAAAAATTTATTCTTTTTATTTTATTTCATGTTTCGGATTATTTTAGAAGTACATTTTGTCGATTTATAGTATAACCGCAATATGCATAGAAGCAAAAAAATGCATATTTAATATTTTTACATTCTTTTACAGCTTGACATTACTTAAATGTTACAGATGTAAAATTGTTGTTAAAGCATTTTTTTTAGAAAAGTGAACGTTGAGAATGATATTGTAAACAGGATGCAGATTGCGTTTTACGACTTTTCCAAGATGCGCGGCCTGAGAGGGCGTAAGGCAGGAAGAGCGTACTCTGGCACGGCTCCATGCTTCTCTTATGGGAGAGTTCGTATTTTTTTCTATTTTCGGCTCTGGTCAGAGTTTTTTGAAATGAAAACTCTACTAAACAGAATCGAAACAGAAGACACTTAACCTTGCCTTTTTACTAAAAGCAAAGGTTCTCATTTAATTTTAGTAAAGTTAGATTAAAATAAAAATAAAAAGAAACGGTCCGTCGTCACAGGATAAAAAAGGGTTACTTTTTAAACAATAGTCAATGTTAACTAGCCTTCAAAAGTGACTTATTTTAGCTCAAGTATGTTTTGGAGTACTTACATTACTCGTTATTAAAAATAAAACCTAGCCCTATCGATACAGCTCGTACACGGGCATTCTTAAGACGGTATTACCTTACCTGTTAAGGTAGCTAACATTGCTGTTTATTTAAAAAATAACCATCTGTATGAATACAGCCTTTTTGATAGCATAGTCCTTCTTGAGTCTAATTACTTACTGATCTTGTATATATACATATCGCTGTAAATAATAATTTATTCTTTAATGAGTGATTATGGTTATAATGTATTTCATCATTATGACGATGAAACATAAAAATTATACGTGATTTTTATTAACGGTTAACATATTCATTTCTATAAAAATCAGATAAAAAAATAACGTAAATTTGACTTCTATCGATGCTAATGTATTTAACAGATTGAAGTTTTTTATAAACAAAAATTAAATTGCACGGAGTTATTAATGAATGTTATTCTTATTTCTGCATCTCGATAAATCTTGCTTGTATAAAATTGATTTAACAAATTTCTCTAGTGAACTATAAAGTTTTAATAAGGTTGCAAGAGGGCTTGGCCGCCATATGCCAAAAGCCAACTTCTGCAAAATTTTAACGTGGGTTCAGTCTCAATCAAGAAAGCCAGTGCTGATTTCCACAGGTAAAACAATCTGGTCCGACTAAGAGGGGTGAGGGTATTATCTAGAAAATAAAATGCAAATTGTAATTACAAAGAAGCGATATTAATTTTATTAGGCCAATATCAAACAACGAATTTATCACATTAACTTATAAAGGCGTGGGTGAGTGAACTCGCTGAACCCAAGACACAACAGTATAACGCGACGTGCGAGTGGATTCGCTCAGCTTTGAACTGCGAAAATCGAGAAAATGATCAGCTGCGAACGAGCGAGAGCTAGCATGAGAGAGCAAGTCGAACGCTCCGGAGAACGACCCACTGGGTTATCACGGTTCATAGGAGAAGAGGTAATATAGCGAAATCGTAGCCCAGTTGTTAGAGGCCTCCAAGGAATGATCACCGCCGGCGTAAAGACGGCTGTCTCCCGTCTGATTCTATGAGATCATGGAATTGTGGTGGTTATTGTTGGCCGTTCACGACCTTCACCCAAATCCAATTCGAAACCCGGATACAAGTGAAGAAATCTGAATCGCTGCAGCTATGACCTGCCTATCCTCGATGTGCTGGGTTTTTTTCCTTCTCTTTACTCTCTTTTTAGCTGGAGAGTGATTACGTAACCTTTCTCTTACTTAGCTCTCGCCTAACTGCTCATCCTTCCTTCCTTTCGTCGCTCTTTCTAATAGCCTCTGCACACGTAGCTCTCTCTTACTTTTCTCTTGCCGAAATCTTCCTTTGTCGCTTTCTCTTTCTCTTTTGATCTTCTCGCCTTCAGTCTCTTCCTCATGACACTGCCTCACCGACTGCGACTCTCCCTCTCCCGGCCCTGCAATAACACAAGCATTTCTACTTTTTTGATGAAGCCATACTCATTGTCGATCGCTGTGTTCGAGAAAGGTGAATACCGCACACAAGGCTAGCGAACTCGCTGTAACCTTGTCACAAGCAATAAAGAATAGATTAATTTTTACGTTCCCTGACAATACTGTTTGATTTAATTACTAAGTATATTAAAAAATATTCTGACCAACAAAATATGAATGCTGAATAATGGGTACAAATTAGTTAGATTTCACCGACTATGCGTCTAGTATTTATCTTTCGTGAAAGATATGAGAAACGAGGATCTATAACTTAGAAATAATAAAATTCATATTGTCGTAAACTTTATTTTATAGGTATAAGTTATCCGGTGACGTTTTCACTGCTAATTCATCGCATAACTCTTGCTACTGCCACAAAAGATTCAATGATACTGGAGGAAAAAATTTAATTTGCTCACCCAAAGGGATTTTTAATACTTCAGTCTGTAATTTCGGAGCCCCAATTCTTTCTTCGCTGCCTCATTTTTATTTAGCGGACGAGTCTCTTCTGGATAATATTGATGGACTCAAACCAAAAGAAAAACTCCACGAAACTTATGTCGATATTCATCCTGTAAGTATAGAGTAGTTTCAGAAAATTTAATATTTGAATCTCCAATTTATATTGAAATACAATAACGTTAATAGAAAATTCGAATACATAAACACGAAATATAAAAATCGAAATATGATACTTTTATCAAATAACAAATATTATTATTGTAGATGAAATCTATATTTAGCGGATTTAATCGTTAAAAGAACGTGCAAAATCATATCGTAACAAAGATATCTTTTAGATCGATAAGGTAGACAAAATCGTTTTCAAAATGAGTGTGCGAATCTCGTTCGTGGAGATCGACTAATGTTCTTGATCGGCTCTCTAAATGATCATATGAAGTATGACTAATTGTAAGTTACAGTCAGCGTTACCAGGGACGTAATTCCGATAGCTTTGTAATATATCAATGTCAGATTTCTAATCACAGAAAGATAAGGATTAAGTCTCAGATCCACTTTTTGCTCAGGAGGGACTTTAGTTGAAATTTGTAAAGTTTCGCAGGAAGAGCGTAGCTAGCATAGCATTTGGCATGAGTCATTCCTTAAGAATTAAATTGAGTTTATTTTTAATTTGGCGGTCTAGCTAAGTTGCAAAAAGGTTAACTCTCTTAAGCAGTCGACACGGTGTATTTATGAGGAAATTCACGAAACTTTTCACTTTCAGGAAACCGCTGTATTTGAGCATGACCTGAAAGTGTTTCACAATATTAAAAAATATTTTCTAAAAGGGAATAATGATAAAATAAGATTACTGTATTCATGTTATGGTCAAGTGTTATATATAACTTACGGGAAAAAATAGAATATTCTAATTTTTGATTAATTTTAAAAAGAATTGCCACATCATTTTTTTTTCTTAAGGCCATTATAAAAATTTCAAAACATCTGATAAAATTATTTTACTACAGTTTAGGCTTGTTTATTGTAAAGTGTAACAGGCCGCCGTTTTACCTTGAACCTATTAAACGTGTCTATTAGTTCGGTCAAACGACGCCGTGTTAGCTACGTGCCGTAAGCACGTTAACTCACCTTGTCCGGGAATGCGCCTGCGCAGAGTTCTACTATCGATCGAAGTTGGGTTCTCGATCTCTCCGATGGTGGCGCTATCGCGCTTGCTTAGCAGCGCTCCGTCGGCTACTGGTGGTAACTCAGTTGGCGAACCGCCTCTTACTTCGCCTACGTAAACCGTGCTATTTTACCGGCTTATTCGAATTGGACGTAAACAATGACACGGACAAAGGGAAGACAAAACAATACGATCTTTAGGAATAACCACTGACCGCTTTATTGACTTTAATCTGTTACACGGGAGGGATTTGCCGAGAGACTCACGCACGCTAAATCGACTGACAATATAAACGGGGAGAGAGAGAGTGAAATTCGCGATCGTCGCGGACTAAACGCTCGCACGCTTTAAATAACTCTACCGCGCATGCTGCGCGGGATCGCACGCCAATTACAATCAACAATATTGTACACCTACCGCGGGATTGATGGGGATACGGTGGCCAACCGTATCCGGCGTACTAGCTACGGATTAACTGCCTCTACGCTCGCTGATCCGCTGCTTTTACTCCGCTGCTTGTTGTTTGGCGGCAGGAGATGATTGGGCTGCTCTCGATGTAGTCGAGGTCACGCACGTGAATCTGTTCCCGCACCCACGCTCCACACTCGCACTCGATTCACTCCCAGGATCTCGCTCAAAGAAAGGGTACACACTCTGTTCGCTAAGCTCACATGCTAGGATGCTGCCGGACTGAATGTCACAGTCATACTGGCTAGCAAACTCTCCCCTCCCGGTCATTGCCCCTACGCGCCCTCTCTCTCTCAAACCGATCGCGGCTGTTACGCTCAGCCGTTCAGTAACCTACGCGAGTCAAAACAATTTTTGGCAATCGTTGCAGCCTCCTCCTAGCTTCGGACTACCGGGCCGAACTATTTCGCTGACTCGCGACCCTAAGGATAGGAGAGGGAATGGGAGAAATCATTGCACTCCATCCTTATAAAATACTCCTTTATTCGCCTCGTCCGGGCCACCACACTTCTTCCTCATTTGCCGGAGCCTCCTGGCACCTTATGCCGTGGGTAGCGCCAGTGCTCCGCCTTGTTCGGGCACTTGGATGTGGTGGTTATCCCGGGATGACCACAAATGTAGCAGCCCTTCCGCTGTTGTCTGTTGGGGCCAGGCACCGACCCTTGGCCCCGTGGGCGGAAGGGGCTGCGGGGCCGAGGTTCCCGGGGCGTCGGTAAAGGTCACGCCGCCCACCGTGACGGAGGTGCGTCCACCATGAGTGCGCACCACCACGGTTGGGTCGGAAACCACCGACCCGTCCACGCGGACCGTGAACTCTTGCCCGGCTCCGGGGCCCCCCGAGACTCTCTTGACTTGAGTCTGTACCGGGGGCTTGGCAGGAGCCTTGGTCGCGGCCCTACTACCCGGTGCCGTTGGCGGTACCACTGCCGGAGGGCCCGCGACCTCTGGGGGCTCCTGCCCCCGGTCGACGCGCAGCAGGGCCTCTCCATATGCCCGCTGCCGCCGGACAACCGGAGTCCACTCCCCCAGTATTTCTCGGGCTCCGCGGAAGTCGAGGAACTTCTCTAGGTGCGCATGCACCTGTCGTTGGAGTTCCCCGACAAACTCCCACGCATTCTCTAACTCCTGGAGGCCCAACCTTACGTGCCTCCAGGAATTCTCGAGCCCTTGTTGCTGGGGGATCCGGGGGTGGTTGCAGACCTACTGCCCCTGCCCACAGGCCTCCTTTGGCCTGGGGCACTGAGTCGAGCAGTCAGCCACCTCTGGCTTGCTCGGCTCTGGGGTCTGCACCCCCTGGTCCGTCGTGGACGCAGATCGACGGCCCTCTTCCACCGGACCGTCGGTCTAGGTGGACGCCTCCCGGGTTGGTGCCTTCCTTGGTGGAGGCCTCAACCCTTCCCGGAGGAAGTCGTCCACCCGCTGGCAAGGGCGATCCACCCGGGCAACCACCTCGACCTGGGCCCGGACAAAACTGCGGACCTCGCCGATCAGCCGATCGGCATCCGGGCCCAACTTGAGATCGAGGAGCATCCAGGTGGCCACCTCGAAGGCTTCTTCGCTGATCACCAGCTTCCTCTTCATCTGCAAAAGAGAAGAGGGTGGTCAAGGGATATCTCAGGTTCAGCCCTTAACCTAACCGCCGTTGCGTCACGCTTGATGCTACGCTTTACGAGGACGTCCCGGTCCCCTGCGCTTCCCTCGCGAATATGGCCCACTTGCGGGGGTAACTGGCCGGACAACCTTCCGCACGTGCTGGATGGTTTTACGAGGCCTGCCTCTTCCCCTCGCTATATTGCCATCCCGGTCATCACCACCCGATGCCGGGAGTTCGCCCACAGGGTTTTTTCGTGGTCTACCGCGGCCCCGCTTAGCCGGCGCCTCGATCGGCGTCTTAGGAGCCGTTACGGACTCATCACACTCGCTCGCGGGGGCTGCAATCGCGGTGCGCTCGCATATCGGATCCCCACTGGGATCCTCTACCTTCGCGGGCGGGTCGCCTGCGCCCTCCTCTTCCTCCAACGGTGCTGAGTCCCCACGTTCCGGTTCCTCGTTGTCCTGGTCCGAGAACGGGCCGAAATAGGGCTTGAGATCCTTGGCGTGGACCAGCTCGGGCAATTCTTCCTGCTGGTTACCGAGGCGGTAGGTATTAGTCCCACATACCTCCTCGATAATATACGGGCCAGCATACTTCGGCGCCAACTTCGCCGATACGCCCTGAGCTGCGGAAGACAAGATACGGTTCCGCTTCCACACCCAGTCCCCAACCCTAAAATCGGCTTGACGTCTCTTCTTGTTATAATAGACCGCCTGACGGTCCGCCTCCTCCTTGGACCTGGAGCCGGCGCGTTCCCATAAGTTGGGCAACTGGCGCATGTGCTCACCCCATTCGGACAGTTCTTGACCCTCAGAAGCTTCGAGGGCCAACTGGTCTTGGGCCCTTCTAAAGGTCGAGGGGGGAGTGGGCTGTCGACCGAAGACGAGCATAGCCGGGCTATAGCTTGTCGCGCTATGAGTTGCCGAGTTCAACGCGAAGTTGAACTCTGGCAGGTGCTCATCCCAGCTCTTATGGTCCCGCTCCACATATGACATGGCCTTGAGGGTTTTGTTCACTCGCTCCGTAGGGTTGGCCTGTGGGTGGTAAACGGGAGTGAGGGCGCGCCGGATGCCGTTCCTCAACAAGTAGGTATCGACATCCTGATTCTTATATTCGGTCCCGTTATCCGAAAGAAATATCTCGGGCGTGCCGACCCTAGTTACCACCCTCTCATGTAGTTTCCGCACGATGGTCCTTCCGTTGGCCTTGCGTACGGGTACACACTCAACCCATCGAGTGAACAGGTCTAAAAAGACCAAGATGTATTCAAACCCTCTCGAGCTCTTTGGGAATGGGCCAGTAATATCGCTGGCCACCACCTGCCAGGGTCGCGAGACCTCTCGGCGACCCATTAGTCCGCAAGGCGGCCTCTGTTCCGCCTTGCACTGTTGGCAAACCGGGCAACTCCTAACGTACTCTCTGACCTGCTCGTACATCTTTGGCCAGAAATACAGGTGCCTAGCCCGGGAGAACGTCCGTTCTCTCCCCTGATGTCCCGCTGCTGGCGCACCGTGTACCTCTTCGAGCACTTGATGCCTTTTCTCAGCAGGAACCACTAGCTTCCAGGCTTCCTCATTGTCGATGGACCCTTCGCTCTCCTCAGTCGGATTGTAGTGATACAGCCTCCCTCCTATTACCTTCCAGGTAGGCTGAGAATGCAGGTCCTGGCATACTTCTCGGTATTTTTGTAGATACCAGGCATCGGCAGTTTCCGGCTGATGAGTCTTGGCACCCACTTCTACCACCCCCTCCTCATAAGCCCTAGACAAAGCGTCTGGCACCACGTTGAGGTCTCCCTTTCGATACTCTATATCGAAAACATGTCCTTGCAGTGCTAGTGCCCAACGCGCTAGCCTTCCTGTTGGATTCCTCATACTGTGTAGCC